TTAATCAGTAAAAGGAAACTGGGGCTTAGAAAATTAATGACTTACCCAAGATCCAAGAGTAAGCCAGAGAGCTAAATCTCAAACCTGTGTGTTTTGGCTCCATAACTAGAGATTTTCTGCTTAATTACTTGAAAAGTCTCTCTCCACAGTTGGCTTTTTGTTCCCCCTATTTGTTTTGCATATGATGGAATAGAGTCATGTACTCAGCTCATTGATTATGATCATAGTCATATTGTTTTCTTTACTTCCAGGAAAGCATAGACGCATGGGATGTCTTAGCAAACCACAGATGTCCTAGCAAACCAAAATGGGATTTTTGTCTGGCTTTCATGGAAATACAATTCAAATACTGTTTACAAACACACACATATAAATGCATCTACGAATTTGCTTAATGTTTGTGTCGTTGCTTTTGTATTTTTATGGAGTTTTATATATCCATAAGACTGTCATATTGCTAGCACTGTCTATTCCAAGAACCCAGCAGATATTTAACAGCTCTGTTTATTACTAAAAAGAAATCATAGTATCTAGGTGCTTAAGGTCCACTCGACTTACTTAAATGTGAGTTTCTCAAAGATGCTTTCCCTCAGGACTCTATTCTCTATCCCTTACCATCTTTGTTCTTTTATTTTTTTTTTTAATTTTTTGTTTATTGCAGTAACATTGGTTTATAACATTGTAAAAATTTCAGGTGTACATCATTATACTTCTATTTCTGCATAGATTACATCATGTTCACCACCAAAATACTAATTACAACCCATCACCACACACATGTACCGAATTATCCCTTTCACCCTCCTCCCTCCCCCCTTCCCCTCTGGTAACCACCAATCCAATCTCCGTCCCTATGTGTTCAATGCAAAGTGAAATAAGTCAGAGGGAGAAGGTCAAATACCGTATGATTTCCTTCATTAAGTAATAGATAATAACAACAATAAACAAACACATAGGGACAGAGTTTGTTCTTTTTTTTGATCTAAGTTCCCTGAAGCAGGGACTTAGTTTTGTTCACTGCTATATCCCCAGCACATAGAACAGTACTTGGCACATATTAGCATATTAGCGCAAAAATAATGTGTTTAATATCTCTTAATGAGTTTCTTTAATTTGGTATTTCTCTCTCTCCAAATACTATTAGAAAAATGTTATGGGGCCGCCCCGGTGGCGTAGTGGTTAAGTTTACACATTCTGCTTCAGCAGCCTGGGGTTCGTGGGTTCGGATCCCAGGAGTGGACTATGCACTGCTCATCAAGCCATGTTTTGGCGGCATCCCACATACAAAGTAGAGGAAGACTGGCACACGTGTTAGTTCAGGAACAATCTTCCTCAAGCAAAAAGAGGAGGATTGGCAACAGATATTAGCTCAGGACCAATCTTCCTCACCAAAAAAAATCTTATGTTTAAAACGAAACAAAATGACATCTATGTACTTGCTTTCTGAAAACAGAAATATTTAAGCCCTGTGCTTTTCTTAAATCCAAACTATATAAACTGATAAAATTTTATACCCACAACTGATGAGAAATATGCTAACAAATCCTTAATGCTGATCTATCAACACATCCAATTAACAATCATTTTTCTCAAGTTCTGAATCAGAATTTTATGACATTTCACTTTTCATTTTTTTTTAAATTTATGGAGGATGGGCAAAGGAGAGAGCAGGTTGGTTACAGCTGTCTGGAATTTTATTTATACATATATATAGACTACAACAAGAATCTCAGAAATTGGGGGCCCTGAAGAAAGTAAGAAACTTAGTAAGGGCTTCAACTTGATTGCACTTAAACTATCCCAGTACCCTGTTATTTGTGATACTATGATTCTACATCCCTCAAATAATTAAAGATTATATAAAAATGTATTATACTTATTAATAAATTAAATATAGTAAGTAAATTAATATAAATATTTAGACATTCGTAGGGATGGACATTCCAGAACTTAACTACAATTTGTCCGAATGTTTCATCACAATTGCCTCCAAGAAAAACTGTTTTATCTAGTCTCTTCTCTGTGAAAACAGGGGATATTTACTTAGATTTATTTCTCTGAACATATCTTCAAATATTTGTAGATTGATACTAAGGCTAAGCACAACACTAAACTATTTGGACAATTTTCTGAATTCAGTTGAGTTAGTTTAAGGGCATATTCTGGTAAAATATGCTGAGATATTTGAATGAATGCACTTTTTGGGCGGTTTAGACACTTTCTAAATAAATATTAACTTAAGTTTTCCACTAAAATAAATCAAGTTCTTTTTTAACTATTTGCAGATCCCATTTTATATGTCTTTTTGTAATTTATATCAGTCACCACTGAGGCTAGCTTAATGTGTCCATATCTCTTTAAGACATAACTATCCAAAAATTAAACTGGAACTGACTAATACCAAAATTGAAAAAAAGTGTTCTCTACATCAAATGAGTATTAACAGATTTCTACATCTTTTAAATAACAGTTTGGGTGGCTGATTCATGGTATGTTTTTCAACATTGGTTGTTCCCAGGCAGTCACAGAACTGAGTCATTGAAGATGACTTGCAAATGTCCTCAGTGAACATCACACACACTTTATGATTTGTCTAGGAATTTGGATGGTATTTGTGTTTTCTGATAGTGTACACGATGGTGTCACATAAAAAATAAACTAGAAAATTATTTATTTCACTAATATTATTTCATAGACTATTTGTAAAATCTCAAAATTCAAGCAATGATATCCACAGTAATTATAGCATTTTGTGTACTTTTTATACTAAGCAATTTGAATTCTCCATTTTTAAAATGTTGAATTTTTCCACAGTTTTTTTTTTTTTTTTTTTTGTGAGGAGGATCAGCCCTGAGCTAACATCCATGCCAATCCTCCTCTTTTTGCTGAGGAGTACCGGCCCTGAGCTAACATCTATTGCCAATCCTCCTCCTTTTTTGTTCCCCAAGCCCCCAGTAGATAGTTGTATGTGATAGTTGCACATCCTTCTAGTTGCTGTATGTGGGACGCGGCCTCAGCATGGCCTGACAAGCGGTGCATCGGTGCGCACCCGGAATCTGAACCTGGGCCGCCAGTAGCAGAGCGCGAGCACTTAACTGCTAAGCCATAGGGCCAGCCCCGAATTTTTCCACAGTTTAAGGCTTAATTACTCAAGTACTTAATATGCTAAGTGATTCTTAAAAGAAGAAATCAGCCACAAATATTCTAAATGGCTGCTCAATGAAGATTTTGCTTTTTTTTTTTTTTTCCTGAGGAGGACTAGCCTTGAGCTAACATCTGTTGCCAATCCTCCCCTTTTTTCTTGAGGAAGATTGGCCCTGGGCCAACATCTGTGCCCATCATCCTCTACTTTTTATATGGGACGCCGCCACAGTGTGGATGGCTTAACAAGCGGTGCATTGGTGCACGCCTGGGAATCCAACCTGCGAACCCTGGGCCGCCACAGCGGAGCATGCACACTCAACCACTGAGCAACTGGGCTGGCCCCATCTCTTTTCTTTTTTAAGTGATGGCTCTTACTAAAGCAGTTCTTACCTTAATCATCCCAGATTTGATATAAAATTTAATTTATTTATGTTCTGATAGTTGAAAATACAGATCTTTCAAAAATTTGAAAGAGTGTTTATGTGGTTTTCCTGAATACATAAGTATCACATTTACCCATTTTATCACAACATAGTATATAAAATAAAGTAATAAATGCAACATTATAATATTATAAACTTAGCATCTAAAATGCTCAAAATTATTTAGAAGAATATGCTTACCGTATATCTTTAAAAGTGCAAATGTGTCTACTACATATAAACAAACATACACAAATATGGACAGAACTACCTGTAAAATTATTTAGGCCTTTGGAATGTACAAATGTAATAGTCAATGTTTTAGCCATTTGTTGGGGGCCAAAAATATCTATAATATGTAGTTACTTGTGGTCTTGTTGAGAGAGAGATTTTAAAATCATACAAGGGTACACAAAACCAGTTACTTAGCTACCAAATGAACCTTTTGACTACACAGCCCCAGCATCTTAACAAAGTTTTGGTTACTCTATTTTGGTCTTATCTGAAATAATTCAGAAAGAAAGAAAAATCAGATTTAGTAAATATGATGTTAATATCACTATGATACTACTGTAATATAACCCATAATAGGTGGAAAATTTTATTTGCATTAACTATGATTTTATTTTATATAGGGAAAGTCACTACATATCTAAAAGAACAACTTCTATTTACATAGAAGTGTGTTCTGGAGCATATTGGTAAACTTGGAGATTTTCTAAAATCTCAAGACTTATCTTTTCCGAGTGTCAAGAGTTTGCTTTATAAGGACTGTACACTAGAATAACAATACTGCCACTAAATATTCTGATTTTTATTACATCCATTTAAAATATGTTCAACAATCTACAGCATAGCTTACAATTAATCACATACAAGTTGAATTTTTCAACATCATTTTTCATGCTGTATTATTATTTCCAAGTGAATATTTCCTCCATGGCTGAAAATTGAGCATTCTAATTGTAAATAGCAGCATAAATTGCTGGAACCCATAGTAAATAATTTTTAAAGGGTCAAAAAAATCTCATAGGCAAGTGGCTATTTTTACTCTGGAATAGCCATGTGTATAGTTTTTCAAAGTAAAGTGTAAGAGCTTTCTATGTAGGCAAGGAAATAATCTATCAAAGAGCATGTTTGCTCTGTATTTGGCAAGATAAAGCAAAGCAAAACAAAATACATCTAATGAAGGAAAACCTGTTAGGATTGTGTATTCTGTAACGTCTTCTCAAGTAACACATTTTGCTCTACCAGAGAAGAAAATCGTTCACATGTCTCATCATACATATGCACAGTAAATTCCTGCTGTGGCATAGGTATTCAGAGGCATACAGTTCTAGAATTGAAATAATCTGAGTTAACTGACATTCTGAGATACTCTGAAATATGGAAGTTACTAATATATATAGGATTATATAACACATGTAAACTCACCCTTCTAATCTTACATCCGGCAGACTTCTGTTAAGGGCAATCAAATCACTGGCCATAAGGTTAAACTGATTGATTTTAAACAGTTCTTTCATTTTCTCCTGGTCATCTTTAGGAATCAGCACAGCCTTTCCCATTTCTCCTGGCCCTTCTTGGTTTCTTGAAATAACAGCTGTAAGACACACACAGGTACACACATACATACAAACACACAGATAATGAACTGAATAAATAAACTTACGTGTTGGATTAGATTCTGAAGTTTATTTATATATTGGCTTAATATAATCATCAGTTCTCTATTGATTACTTACACACCATACCATACACTAAAAAAACGATCTATTTTAATCAATTAACTCAATGCTGCATGTTGTTTTTCAAGTCTAGGCATATTATACTATCTGACTGATCATTAAGACTTAATAATTAAGCAATACAATACACCAAAACTTTAAACTTCTCTGTCATATTTTATCACATACTTATTAGAAAGGAATGAAGTTGAGCACTGGGCAGACCAAGTTGTGCAAAATAAAAGACCTTTTGAAAATATACCAAGATTAATTTATTTTTACATCCAATTAAATGTTTTGATATTTCACATATCTAGCACCATTACATCTATTTAAAGCAAACGAGGTTGATAATCCTTTATGGAAATTTGATTCCTTTGTCAAAGTATTTTCAAATAAGTAAAGAGAACTTTCATAGTGGTGACACATAACTTCAAACTTCAAGTTGGATTTGGATGCTATGTGCTCCATAATGGGAACTTCACAGCAATATTCTTGGCTTGACTGTTGATTAAGAGAACTCAGGATTCGATATACAGGCTAATGTTCCTCCCATTTCCTCCAAGATATCACTACACTCATGTCCCTTCTAGTTCTAAAATACATATCTCAATGTGTGTGTGTGAGGTGTGTGCACTCATACGTCTGTCTGTCTGTATATTAACATATAATAATAAAAGTTTCCAGTCAATCCTAATGTACCCAGAAGTTACTCTTCCTAATGACATTAAATTAGGTTAAACCGAAAGAAATGTGGTTCCGGTCTTGACTCTCCCAATGTTTTGCTATATTATAGTTACTAACACATCAACCTTACTGAATTTAGTTCCCACACACTTTAAAGGGAAAATATTTGGAAGCAAATTACATTAACTATTGTAAAAAAATTTAAAGGATATAATACATGTGAAAATAATTTGTAAATTATAACATTTCATAAAAATACAAATTCTAAAATAATAAGAATATGCTCAATACTAAAAGACAATAAGGGAATTTTCCTCTGACTTGACCTTCATAGTTATAAAACATCAAGCCTGGTATTACTAGTCTAATATACAATTGCTCGTCCAGGTGATTATCCTCTTGGAAACGTTTTCCTGACTTTGGAATGGCATGAGTGAAACTATAAAAGAGAATAGGCATTTCTAAGGACCTTCAGATATGGGTATCAGGAAGGTGATTAGCCTGGAAATCCTCTCATACATAGAAAAATGATAAGAACTAGGAAAATTTTAAATCAAAAAGATATATGTATCCGAATTCAAATTATTAAAAAAATTATCATCTAAAGAAAGTTTATGAAGAATCTCATTCACTTTAAGAAGCAAAAATAGAAATGATGTCTGGAATTTTATGAGAAGCATATTTTGCTCAATTTAAGAAATAAAATTCTAAGAGCAATATTTTACTTTAGGAGTTTGTAAGTTTATTGTTCTTAACATCAGATGCGGTTTTTGGAGTTGGCTTTGGCTGAATTTGTGCTCTTGGTGAGACACCGGACTTAGATTGGCATTAAAGTACCTTCCACTTCTAGGATTTTTTTTAAAGTTTTGATTCTACAAAAAAGCGTTAAGGGGCTGGCCCCATGGCTTAGTGGTTAAGTGCACGCACCCCCACTACTGGCGGCCCGGTTCAGATCCCGGTCGCCCACCGACGCACCGCTTGTCCGGCCATGCTGAGGCAGTGTCCCACATACAGCAACTAGAAGGACGGGACGTGCAAGTATGACATACAAGTATCTACTGGGGCTTTGGGGAGCAAAAGGGAAAAAAAGGAGGAGGATTGGCAATAGATGTTAGCCCAGGGCCAGTCTTCCTCAGCAAAAAGAGGAGGATTGGCATGGATGTTAGCTCAGGGCTGATCTTCCTAACAAAAAAAAGTGTTAAATAGTTCCCTCAGAGTCCTTCTAATTCCGAAGTAAAGAACATAATCAGGCTACATGATACCTATTAACTATGTAACCAACACATTTCATGTATTATATATTACATATATATACATGTAATATCCTAGTGTATCCTAGCATATAACCTTACACTAGTGTATACATATCCTAGTGTATAACCTTAATGCCAGAAAAAAAACAGGATTAATTTTTTTCTAGTAAAGAATTTTTGATATTTTGATACATTAAAGAATAATTAAAGGCTTTGAGGTTAAAAAATTTTTTAGAATTTTTAGAAATTAAAAACCATTCACAGTTCTTTAAAATGTCCTCTATAAATTCCGATAAAAATACATTACATTACAGAGAAATGCACCAGGCTCAACAAAATGCTACAAAGGCTAGGAAGCAGATAAGATTAATTCTTACTCTATGTGGAAAAGACACGGGGCTCAACTACCTCTTAAGGCATGAAGATCAGGTAAGGTACATTTGGTTTTTGCAACACATTCAAAGGTGTGACCATTTCCTTGGCTTAGCGTTATGGAGATTATAGATTTTGGAGTAAGTGTATCATGTTATAGTGTTATTAATAAAAATAAAATTGTCATAAACAGTATCCTTATACCCAGAACTAGTTTGCAAGCACATATAATCATTCTCCTTAATTATCCTCAGTTTCTTAGTGGAGAATAGATAACAATGTGTATCAGGTTAAGTGTCTCCTCCCCACACTTAATAGGTTTTTCTATAATAGCCTTTAATGAATGCATATTTGACATTTTATAAAATGTATTTTCTTGTGCATGAGGAGACCTATTGGTGTTTTTCACCTTGCTTGAGCAAAAGGAATCCTAAGTAATTATAAGGTAGAACCAGTCTTTTTCTTTTTCTGGCTCATACCTGGAACAACGCATCTTACTGGAAGAAAACGTGATTTTTTTTTTTTTCCAAATAATATAAATAGGAAATGGAAAAGATTAAGTAATTGGGCTTTGTGGCTTGTCTCCGATCCGCAGTACCTTTAAATAGCAACTCCTACTTTTTTTCTCACCTGTTGATTTCTCTCCACTACGTAACTTAAAAAAAACAAAGACCATTCACACACACAAAATAACATGCTCCCTCACAACTGAACTAAAAAAACAAAAAAAATTCTTATTGAAATATTTGTGCTACTTTTCTCATAGGTAAATGTAATAATAAGGCAAGTAATTTAACATTATGATTTCTTGATTATTGTTTTGAATTTGGATGGAAATGTCCCAATTATAAAGCTGGCTTGGACTGCAAAAATATTTTTATATACCATATAGTAAGTTATTTTCTTCCTAATTATATGGTAAAATCATTAAAAAATAAATAACTAATTTGACTTAAAGTTACATTATAATGACTATAAAAATATAAAAGCAGAATAATTTTATATGTATCTTTCTTTTTCTTTAACATAGCATGTACTGTAAAGATTTACAGATTTATTTAAATCTTAGAATTCCAATTGATAAAAAGGATGGATGACCATCAAAATATAAATAAATCAACTGATCAGTCTACCAAAAGGAACACTACATATTAATTGCATTATTTGCTTATGTACACTGCATCATGAACATTTTTTCAATAGCAGAAATGCCCCATTATCAATGAGCACTGTCTTTTTGAAAAAGAGAGATGAGAGAACCTATATCTAGAAAAAAACTCTGAGTAAAAAAATTTTTTTAAGTTGATTTTAAAGTAATGATTTTATTCTGTTAAAGGACACAGTAATATACGATGCATACTGGTAAAAGCATAGCACTGAACCAAAATATAAATGTTATCCCACGTGCCGCACTTTCCAAAAACTACTTCAGATTGTATTTCCATCCTCAGATCTACTTATTTGTTAATTTCTGTATATTTGCCGTTAAAATCTTTCTCTTCATTGACACTACAGCTTTCTCTCACTTTTATCACTTCCGATTTGTCAACTGTAATAAATTAAAAATCTTGAATTTTAGTCTCTCTCTCATCTTTGAATATTCATACTCTGCTGCTAATAATGTCCCTAAGACAATGCTTTTTGTCTTGTCAATCATAAATGTGTTTGTAGTAGAGTCAGAAGATGAGAAAATCACACCAACACAAGGACCAACTTCTACCATCCAAACAAACCACTTTGCCCTCCACTCAGCGTTCCCTGGGCCATGCTCCTTTGCCAATTTACAGATCCTGAGTTTATTCTCACTGAATAAACGGTAATTCTCATTAAGGAACTCAGTATATACTTGCTTTGGTCCATTTCTGTTAGAAACAATACTAGCCTTCAAATATCAATATTATAGTATCAATATTATAATAATATACTTTAATATATTACATATTAAACAACCAAATTCATTGTATTTAGGGTGTGAAAAATGGCAATTTATTTACTATCCTTCTGAAAAAGATAAATCTGACACATCTGATAATAACTTTTTATTTTTTATCATAGTCATATGTGGTGTTCTGATTGTTGTCCATTACATTTCAGTAACTAGATTTTTATGCAGCGAGAAAGTTGCAAATAGCAAGCCCTGATGGGATCAAGTCCAGCAAACATTAGCTACTCTTTCCCAGGAAGGTGCCTTCTGTTAGATAATCAATCAAGTAGCATTTTTCACCAGCTAGCTAGAGGAGAGATCATTCGCAGAACCAAGGGAATGCTGATTTTGAAAACTGTCTTTCACTTACTTTTTAAATAAAAAATATATTGTTTTTATGTTAAATAAAAATACATGCTTATTTAAAAGAAAGAAAGAAGAAAGAAAGGAGGATGACAGAGAGAGAGAGAGGGAGTGAAGTAGGTAGGTAGGTAGCCACTATGAAAAAAAGTGAACAAAGAAACTACTGCTTGAATGGTCAACTTTAATCTATGCAGAAACATGCTCAAGCTTTTAAAATAAAATCATTCGTACACACTGAATCCTATCATTTCATTTATCATTATCATACATGCTTGTT